TCAGGGCTGGGAGCCTGAATTAAAAAAAAAAAAATTCAGTTAGAGCCCTGGCCGGGTAGCTTAGTGGATTAGAGCATCGTCCTGATACTGAAGTTGCCGGCTGGATCTCTGGTCAGGGCTCATAGAAGAATTAACCAATGAATGCCTGAATACGTGGAACAACAGATCTCTCTCTCTCTCTCTCTCCCGTCCTCCCTCTATATAAAATCAATTCATAAATATTTTTATAAAAGCAAATATAGCCCTAGCTGGTTTGTGGAGGCAGCCGACAGATGTTTAGCTCGCAGATCGATGGGGACGGGCGGTGAGCTTGGTCTGGGTCATTCAGGAAGCTGTTGGAGGCACAGGCCTGGAGCCAGGGAGAGGCCCGAGAACCGACCTGCTCCGGCGACAGGTGGCAGGTGAGACTGTCAGGTATATGCAGGCTTAGGACCGGGGCCTGGGAACACCCTTGTTTGTCCAGATGCCTGTGAAGGAAAAAGGGCCTATTCATGCAGAAGGACAGGAAGGAGAGCCAACAGAGGAGGAGGAAAACCAGGAACGCATGGTGTCTGGAAGCCGGGAGGGGAGCAGCCGGCCCAGGGAATGCCGTGGGAAATCTGAGTGAGGACCGGACAGGCCGGTGACCGCAGGGTTGCTCAACATGGATGTCTGTGGAAACCCAGAGAGAGTGTGGCTGCAGGGGACTCTCAGTGAGCAGACCTCCATGGAGGAAGTTTGCTGGGAAGGATGGTAGGAAGACAGGGTGGTAGGAAGAGCTTAGTTCTGATTCACTCTGTGGTCCCAGCATCACCCAGCAGAGAGCATCAAGCTGGTCGGCATCTCAGATTGTTTGTTGAGTGACTGACTGAATAAATGAATGAGCAGAGAATCGAGAGAGAGAGAGAGGTGGAAAGATACACAAAAGTTGTAGCATCAAGCCCTGACCAGTTTGGCTCAGTGGATAGAGAGTCGGCCTGCGGACTGAAGGTTCCCGGGTTCGGTTCCAGTCAAGGGCATGTACCTTGGTTGCAGGCACATCCCCAGGAGGGAGTGTGCAGGAGGCAGCTGATCGATATCTCTCTCTCATTGATGTTTCTAACTCTATCCCTCTCCCTTCCTCTCTGTAAAAAATCAATAATATATATATTAAGTTGCTGCTGCTATTTCTTCACATCTAAGGAAAACAAAGATTCTGTCATCGAAGTCAGCTCTGCACATTTTTACAATAAAGAAATTAACTTTCTCTGACTTATTTCATGTAGCATCATACCCTCCAGGTCCATCCATGTTGTCACAAATGATGTCTTTATCCTTTTTCATGGCCAATTAATATTCCCCAATTGTGTAACTGTCTCATGTCTTCTTTATCTAGTCACCTACTGATGGACAATTAACTGCAATTGAAAAATTAAAATGCAAATTATATATATTTATCCTATGTAATAAAAG